CTAGTACAGTGGTTCTCAAACTTTTTTTGCAATGGAACCCTTTTACATTATTTGTAATATAATGGAACCCTTATTTAAATTAATACTTATTATAATAAAAGAAATATTTTATTTGAATCACACCATAAATTGGAATATTAAATTTTAGTGAGATGAATGCATCTGTTTTTTTAACGTAAGTATCCTCTGGAAATTTGGTTTTATGCTTGATAACTGGATTCTCATATCTGGGGCGGCATCCAGTCTGCTTCGATACTTAGTTTTCGTGCTAGCATATCTTGAAAATCCTGATTCACACCAATATGTCGTCGTAAAAGGCAAAAGTATTTTTATGGCCTGTTTGGATATTTCAGGATATTCTTCAAGTAGATTCCCCCAGAATACATCTAACGGCACTTCTTCAAATTTAGCCTTTAACTGAGTATCAGATGTAATTTCTATTACTTTCTCATAATCCACTGACAGAAATCCTGTTGGTGTTTTTGTTACTGTGAATGGATTTTGTACCCAATAATATTCTTTGTACTCCAAGTTAGGAAAATACTCGGTAAGAGATGTGGATAAGCTGTTGAGATGATCTTTAATTTTATCGAGTGTCTCTGCATCCAATTCCATTTCAGATTCTTGTAGAAATTTAGTAAGAAGTGGAAAACAGTCAAAATTACCATGCTCTACTTCTTAAATCCAGTACTGTAATTTACAAGATAAAGATATCATATATCATATTATCTTGAGTTTGAAAAATGTTTGTTTCCTTTCTTTGTAGATATAGGCATGTTTCATTCAACTTTGAAAAAACATCTGCTAAATATGTAAGTTTTGCATGCCATACATTATTTCTTAATCTGTCAGACAAATTAAATTTATGTTCAAGAAAGTAAAACTGCAATTCTTTTATCAATTCAACCATTCTCACCAGCACATTTCCTCTTGAAAGCCACCTTACTTCTGTATGTAAGCGTCATTTGATGGCTACCCATATCTTTGCATAAAGCTTTAAATCAGGCATGGCCAACATAGAGCCTGTGGGCTGGATGTGGCCCGTGTAATGGATTTATGTGGTCCATAATTAATCTTTCAATATTAGCTACTCATGTCAGAATAGATCGGTGAGAAATTCTAACGCCTATAAAAAAAAAAGGTTAACAACTCACTGTCTGGTTAGAGTTAACCCTCCATTACCAATCTCTTAAGTACAGCATAGAATGTTGATGAAGCATAATAATGTGAAAAATGTATCCATAGTCTCTATGTACAATTTAGTCTCTACAGGGTGACACCACAATGAGATCTCGTACCACCACAAAATCTAGCTAGGGCAGCCTCTGGTTCAGTGTATGAAAAAAGTTTTCTTTCCAATTCAGCCCGGGGGCAAAAACTGTTGGCCACCCCTGCTTTAAATACTCTTGATTGTAATGGCTAAGTCTTAATAAAATTGATAATTTGCATGGTTTCATCTAAAACTACCTTTAATGAGGCAGAAATTCGATCATCAAGGCTACAAGATCCAGGCAGGCCATGAAACATCTGTAAAAAATAGAAATTCACAAGGCGCAGTTGCACACAAACTGCATTAATCATAGGGATGCTGATGGATTGTCATCAGCATGGAAATCCTTCTATGATGAGTTGACATAGCTTATGTAAGCGGGAAGGTTAATTAAGATAATTTTTACTGGATGTATATATTTTATTTTATTTCTTTATTTCATTTTAATTATCTTGTATAATTTTTGCAATTATTTAAGCTTGGTAAATGTTAACATATATCTATGTAACCACTTTTTGAATTTTTGTTTTACATAATTTTGAATTGTTCGTTTGATTCAAAATGATAACTGAGGATGATCGCTTAAAGCGTTCAAAAGCGTTTTTAAGATATTAAAAAATGCTTTTGCTGGATTGTTTAAAGATTTTGATTTATAAATTGTTGGACACCCTATATATACACTGAATAACATGATTCTTGATTAATACCAAAAGATCTGCCAAATTGTATTAGCTATCTAAATTATTAATAGTTCTGGAGATAAAGGTTAGTTTCAGATCCAAGTTGCGTAACTGGAAATGTGTCCACACAGTATGTAGGAGTTGTGGGTTTGAGTCTTGCTTCGGACTGATTCTTTTCTTCCTGAACTTTCTATATTAAATATTAAGTATTAATTTATTTATAATTATTAAATTTATTTTGATATGGTTACTTAATTGCAAAATTACTCTATATCTAATTATTAAATGTAGCCATATTATAACCCATTACAATCTGGCAGATAGTTTGATATTAATCAAGAATCAGATTATTCAATGTTTATATTTGTTATTTTCTGATTTTACACCTGTTGACTTTTTGATCTTAGAAGTACCAGAGTATGCCATTCTAATTACTCACTTTGAGTGAACACTCAAGCTTCTAGGGTATTACATGCAGATTGTAGTTTTAGTGTTTCAAAGAAATTCTGAGAAATTTCTGATACTATTGATTTATTTAGCAAAGTTTGAATAAACAAAGATATTTTGCATATAACTATTTCACTAAAGCACAAAATATATAGAGGTATTAATATGTTAAATTTCAGATTTGTAAATTATGACTAAAATAATGTTATAAAGAGACAAAGATTAAATTTTATTTTTAATAATAATATTGTTATGTTAATTATTTATCAAAAATTAGATAAATTTCAAATAATTTTATAAGTTATTTGTTAATTAATATCTGAAAATGATAAGTGTAATGTAATTTCTATAAATTGTTCTTATATATTTTGATTTTTAAATATAGTTTTTAAGTAAAAAATGAATTTTCTTTTATGTATAAATTTTTTTTAAAAATGAGATTTAATTTATATTGACTTTTTAATTTAAATTTGATTTTTTGATTTGTAATAGAAATCCAGGATTTAATATCAAGTGGGTAGACGATACTCATGCTTTAGGTGTATTTTCAAGTCCTATTGCTGGTAAGCATTTGATAATTCTATTTATAATAATTAATTCATTATTGCAGTTAAAATTCTGTTAAGTGAAATACAGTAAACTTGTTAATTTGAACTTATATAATATGAATTTCCTCTTAATTCAATCTGGATGTTAGTTCCCATCTGATTCCTATTTAAAACAATGTAAAATTCTCTTGATAATTAGAACTCAATTGTGTCATCTCCTGTTCATTCAAATCTAGAGCATGTGTTAGTTGATTAACATCTTTCATTTTTGAAAAATTAAGAAAAAAAATAAGTTTAAAAATAAATTAATAAATTAAAATTTAATTAATTAAAATTTAAAAACATTTTAAATCAGCTGGTACACAATTAGGCAGTTTATGGTCATCCTATGGTGCTTACTCATCATGGCTTCTTGTGGACAATACAGAGCCTTAGAGTTGGAAACTAAAGTGACCATTATCTAGAAGGTTGAGTCCAGTGGATTAAAATCCAAGATTACTGATGAGTACAGGATTAAACAAACCATGCTGTAAACATACATAAAGATGAAGGATTCAATTTTTTTTTCTTTATTCCATTGAATGCACTACTGTACCTTGTTTTGAATTTCTCATTGACTAAACATTATTTTGCTTACCATGTGGTGTTAATCTATTGTTAAATTTTTTTTCTGTAGCATCCAGAAATGGTCTACTTTTAATTCAAACTGTTTAAGGCTATCCCTCTGAATGTGAATTAACAAGAGTCTACTGTATTTACATATATTGCAATATCTTGAAATAAACAGGGTATATAGATATAAGTAATTCAGTCTGTAATGAAATGAATTTTTATAATGGATACTTGTATATCATTATAAAAACTGTATCATTATAAAAACCATATCATTATACCATTCTAAAAATTTGCATATCCATAAACAAATGTATTCTAAATGTATGATGGCCTTTGTACATTTAGAATACATTTGAACAGTTTACTGAGTATTCCAAAATTGGAATGTTCCATCTCAGTAAAACCATTCAATTCAAAGGTATAGGACCTGAAGCTGGCTTGTAAACTAGGCCAAAAACATTTGTTTCTAATAAAGCATTGCTGGAAGAAGTAAGAAAAGTGTGATGTTGATTAATGTTAGGATAAGTTCTAGCTTTGAATGACAAATTGCATAAATGAAAAATTCATTACACTTCAAATGTTAGAAATTGTTTCCTATTCTATATACTTATTTTATATACAGTTAGTCGTTTGCTTTTTACAAGTTGTACTCTGTGATTTTAATAAAAAATCCCTGCCAAACTGTTGTTTATATCATTTATTAGTTGTTGAACTTTGCCTTCGCCTTTCCAAATAATTAACATATTGTCCATACATTGTATGACTAATTTAATATTTTTATGAAATTCTCTTAAGGTCTTATCTTCCACCTCCTTTAAAAGTTAAAATCACCTTCAAGTTTATACAGGACACTTAAGTAATTTGATTATCTTGCAAGTTTTAACATATGTACAGTTACATACTATTCTTTTCTCTTAATTCTACTGGTTATATTAGTATGTATATTTATTTAATTTTAATGCTTTGTTTTCTATATTTTAAAAATCCAAGTTAAAAATTGTATGTTGACTTTATACATTCTTTCAATTATAAATTTTCATATTCAATAATCTGTTCTATAAGTTGTTCCAAAAAAGATTTTTTAAGTTTAAACTGATGATTACTTTAGTAGAGTTAAAAAAAATTGTTTTAAATAAGAAATTGTTCTTTTGGTAACCAAAAGAAGCAGTTAGTCCAGTGTTTCTCAACGGGGACAATATTGCCCCCATGTGAAGGCATCAGAATTTTGAAGTGAAGGGGGGTGATACTATGTAACGGTTTTATTGAAGGGGACGACGATTCATTAGAGGTTAAGAAACACTGAGTTAGTCTATGTAATTGTCAACATGGTATCAAATTTCGTTAACTTTAGAGAATTGAAAACTAAATTTTATACATTAGTTATAATAATTAGTTAACATTAATCATGAATTAATACATTAATATGTTCAATATTAAATTCCTAGCTATGGATGCTCTTACTTTGAAGCACCCCTTATTAAAAGTTCGTCCACTTTCTCAAGGTATCAGAGAGTCAAAGTTTAAAGCCAAGAGATGTGCAGGTATGCTTGCTTTTATAATTTATGTTTTTAATAAAATTTATATTTAGCTTGCAATATTTATAATATAAAATGATAGAAAATATACATCTTTGAATTATAGTATCCATTTAGCAAACATAAATTAAATCTGTTATAAACTAAGGAATTCAAATGATTTGTTAAAGATAAGGTATTCTGGAAAGTTTGTAATGTTTTTTAAATGAAAGTTAACATGAATTACTTTTGACTGAGATTTATTTTAATCAAGTTAATCAAGTAAAATAATGTAGTTTCAGTTTTGTTGAATTACCTTCTCCCATCTCATGATTAGTTTATAATTACCATGTTTACAAAAAGTTTTACTATATGAGTAAAAACAAAGACTGAAGTGTCATTCTACATCATCAAAAGTTTTAAAGTTTTTGTCAGTAAGCAAATCTTGCAGCATTTTGAAAAGATGAAAAATCTGTTGGGACCAAGTCTGGAGAGTAGGATGGATGTGTTAGAACTACCCAATTAAACTTGCATAACTTTTGCTCAGCGCAGTCTTGCATTATCATAGGTTGATTGTAGGATGGATGTGTTAGAACTACCCAATTAAACTTGCATAACTTTTGCTCAGCGCAGTCTTGCATTATCATGATGGAACACTACACCATATCTTACCACTTCTGATCATTTCTCTTTAATGGCAGCTTTCAATTTATCCAATTATTGACAATATATTTCTGCAGTAATGGTTTCATTAGGTCTTAAAAGTTCATAATAAATGATTCTGTTCTAATCTCACCAGACACACATAATCGTCTTTTCATTTAATAGAGACTTCAGTGTTGTACAGATTACATTGCTAGAATTGGACCAATGTCTTGATCTTTTTATATTGTTGTCTATAACCCATTTTTCATCATCTGTTACTAATCTATCCAAAAATGGGTCATTCTTTTGCCTTCCAATTAGAGAAACATATGCAGGTACTTTATCTAACAAATTTTTCTTTGAAACAGTGTGGGACACCCATACATCATACCTACTAACTGTGCCAGTTCTTTTGATATAGTGAAAAGCTGATGATTTTGAAATCCAAAGCATGGCTACAATCTTCTCCACAGTTTGTTTTGGATTGCTCCTTATTTCTACATGAATCAGATTGTGATCTATAGTTGAAGGTCTGCCTGAAAAGGTTCATTTATAAGAAAAATTTTCCTGTTTAAATCTAGTAAACCATTTCCTGAATGCACTAAAGGAAAGAAAACTCTCTGCAAAACTCCTCATTGCTTTCACTTTGTTACTTCCTGTTTAAACTTGTACAACATGGCATGTCACAAAAGCTCTAAGGTTATCCATTTTCTGTTAGAGATACAAAAATTAAAAAATTAATGGTTAAAAAGAAATTAGCATTGTTTCTACATTCAGCATCTACAATAAAACTTCTCTAACTTGAAGCGTGAGTTACAGATGATTCAAGTCAAAGAACAATAGAGTGAAAAATGTCAATTCTGAATAGATTTGTATTTTTACCTTTCTTGCATTATATAAAGAATCTTTGATACTTTTGAGTTATAAAGAATCTTTGATAGTTTTTTGTTTTAAACAGCCTGTATAATGTCTTTCAGCAAAATTTTAAATGTAACTAATGGAATCTAACAGTTTTGCAGATACTAATGCATCTTGTTGAGATAAAATGAGAGGTCCTCTCACTTTGGACTGGAATGTTGTCTTCAAATGATTGTTGGACAATAGATACAACTAGCTGTCTGAAAATTTCATGGAAATCTGATAATTAGGATTTCCACTTTGGATAGAATATTAAAATTCAAGTCAGGGAAGTTAAAAGCAATGTAAATCAATGTCGGGGAACCATAAAAACCTTCAACTTGGAGAAAATTTGAGTTAAGAAAATTCAACTTTGACTATCAAAAATTTCTGTCAACTGCTTAAATTATTAGCTTTATAACTTAAAAAATTAGAAGAATTTTATCAAATAAATGCATTTGTCAAAATACAAAATAAATAATTTTACAATTTTAAGTTTGCATCATCAAAACAAATTTTTCTATTTTTGTAGCACAGATTTACATTCAGTGCAGTACTGCTTCCATTTAAAATTAATTAGATTAGATAAAGAAATAGCAGACATTATAAAGTATGGTATTTTTTATAAGAAAAATTTTATTTTAAATTGTTATTATGCTGAATTTTTTCTGTATGTATTAGTGTGTCAGGCACACACTAAGGAGGGATGATTTTGTTCATCCAATTTGAAACTTAATAACTCCTGTGCCTTTTATTGAAAATATCTGAAATTTTGAAGTGACGTTTGTGTATTATGGGGATTGATGCTATTAAATTTTGGTGGTTAAAGGTCAAAGGGGATAGGGAGATAGAGAGGATCATGTGTGTGAGATCTTGGAGACGAGGACTGAATTTATTTAATTATGTCAAAATTTAAAATATTATTTAGTCATTAAAAACGACAAATTTTTATACTTTTGATGGAAATGGCTCATGAAAGGGGAAACAAACTTCCTTTCTCAACTGACGATTTCCTGTGGCAAGATTGCAAAATTTTGACAAACATTTGGCAGTTGACTCATCAGTGCATCTTGTCATATGGACCCAGAATAAAAAAGGCAGAGATTGCTGTCTTGGCATGGATGGCCAGAGAACAATGAACCACCATAGAATGGCAGCTGTCATAGAAAAATGCCTATAGAAGCTGGTGCAGATTCTGCCACATAGAAGTGCAGACTGCCATAAGGAGCACAAATCTCAGCTTCATCTGTCATTTGTCTCCTAACCCACTTCTGTCTCCAATCCACTCTGAAAGCAAGCCTCACATACTAAGAAAGACATCTATCAAGCTGCCAGAGGTATTATTATAATCACTTGTAAACTTTCTCTCTCTCTGAGAAATTAGAGGTGTACATAGTTAGGCCACTGACCTAGATGTAATGTTTATGCCAGTTATTATCCATTGTTTTGTTTAGTTTATTAAACGTTTGTTATTTGTTAAATGGAGGTTGAGTGATATTACTTTAAATATGGACACAGACTCCGCTCAACTGTCTTCACGCTCTCCCCACTTAAAGAAATTGAGCCCTCCTATTTCAAAGCCATCCACTGATCTAGTGAGTGGGTCTCATGACTCTACGACATTTGAGGATTAGAGTATCTCTAAGCCCTCACCCGTATTCTCATGTGTCATATCACAAGTGTAGTCATACTTAATGAAAATTTTATTTGTTATTAGCATTTAGAATTTTTTATAAAACTTATCTCTACCTTCAAAATTAAGCTTTTTGCCATTTTATAATCTATATATATATATATAAAAATGGATGTGTATGTCCCTATATTTCACTTTTCAGCCAAAACTACACATCGCACATGAATGGTGTTTGTATGTGGTAGGTAGTAGCCCCAAGTCTCCATTCGTGCACTATGGTGGTTGCGTCTCGATAGCTATAAGGGTGCGGGAGATATGGGGGCTTAAAGTGGTTGACTTTGAAGATTTTCTATTTTGATTTTTAAAATGTTTGAACCGTTTTAAATTCGAATTCGAATTGGTTCGATTATAGAACTATTGTAAACGTTCCAGAAAATTGATCAAATTGAAAATAGTTTGTTTGACTGGACATCAACAGGAGACGTTCTGTCTGGAAACGGGGGACCTAATTCTTGCATTCTGTGAAAACGGGTAAGATTGGATATAATGTAATTATCTTAATCTTCACTATCGTTACTTTTTGCCAGCGAAGTGGGTCCTTGCAGCTAGTAATAATATAAAAAGTTTCTTAAATTAAATAAAATTTTCCAAATTATATTAATAATTCAGGAATGATTTTTCTATATGATTATCTGAGTTATGACCTGATAATGAATCCACTTTATCATTTGATTATTAGTTTATTTGTAGTTACAGATATGTGTGTTTATTTTAAAAATAAAATAGTATAGTGAAGGAGATAACAATTATGATCCCAGAAAAATCTAAAATATCAAAAGCAAGTTATTTTGTCCTTATAACTAGCCTTATACTAGCCCAATAGATTTTCGGCATTCGGTTGGTGTGTAGCTATATTATATATCGGGTTTAGTGATGTTTGTTATTTTGTCCACTATGAGATTTCAAAGTTCTACTTTTGATTGTTCTTAGAACACTATGACATTAGAACAGTTAACTAATTTAAGTACTGTGTGTATTTTTTAAAGATGTATGATTTAATTCAATAATCAATTATATTTATTCTTAGATTTAATTTATTTTTAAAAAATCAGTTAAAATAATCAGTCACAATTAAAAAGATAATTATGGTTGTCTGATGATAATCTGAATTTTATGTATAGATTGATCTTTTAAATTTAAATATGATCTAAGTAATATTTTTTATGATTTTGATCTTTAAAGCTCTGAAAATGAAAAGAAATATTTGAAAGCACTTTTGCACATTTTCAGGAATTGGAATTTATTTAAGATATTTTTCAGATATCATTCAATAAATAGAGTTTCTTTTAAATAAAGCTGGAAGGATTATTTGTAATTAATGTAAAATATTTCATAAATCTAAATTCTAAATTTCTTTAATAAAAATTAAAAATATATTTTCTTAGAATTTTTGCAACCATATAGACCACGACCAGAAACATCGGCAACATTAGCAAGACGATTAGTATCAGGTGCTTTGGGTGTTAGGCTAAATGTTCCTAAAGAACAAAGAGAATTGGAAAGACAACAACTCAAAGAAGCCAGAGGTAAATTTATAAAAATGAAAAAATTAATTTTAATTAATTAAAATTTTAAATACTTAAAAACATTTATATTTTACACTTTTTTCTATTTGTGTTAGCTTGAAAATATATTTATTTATAAACTAATTTTTATGTTCTAGAAATTAATATATTGAAATTTTATTAATAATTATAACAAGACTGTTTTCAGATAAAAAAGATGAAAACACTGGTTTTTTTAAAGGTGAAGTCTTTAATTTTCCTAATTTCAGGAAACATTTTTCTCATATTCAGAATTTCTAAAATTTAAACAGAAAATTTATCCAACTTATTTACTGGATTCTAGTTTTTTAAAATTCTATTTGTATCAGATGATGAAACAAAGGAAGAGCTTGCAAGAAGCATGAGGAGTTCATTGAACCAGACTTGGAAATACTATGAGTTGACCATGTTTGTTACTGGTCTGTTATGCATTACAAGAAACAATTAAATCTTGTAAGTTACTTTCTTTAGACTTTGTCTGAGAGATAACACTTGTGTGAGAATACGATAGGCAAATTGCCCTCTAATTGTTGGGTCGCTCACTGAGTCACTAGATGGCTTTCTATGGAATGTCATTGGGATCACTGGATCCTTCCGACATTAGGGCTGATATCAGCTAGGGAAGAAGTCTTGCATCCTAACTCATGATGTTCCGTGTTACATTTAAATGGAAGGTTATATTCTATCGAGCAGGGAGGAGTCACGGGTAAATTCCAATCTTACCGGGGTGAATGTCTGTACTTAAAATACTGAGGGAATTAACAGGTTAATGATAACAATAAAGAATTTAATGTATAAAATAAAACAAAGAGATACATAAATCGAGACACTTAATATAACCTATCGTGAATCAAACCTCTAAATCTAAGATACATTTCAAAATAAATAAGAGAGATAGCGTTTACAATCAATAAAAATAATGATAATACCTCAGTAGTAACTTGGAGAATGCAAGGTGAATGCGGGACTATCATCATCATCTAATTATTATGGCAGTTTCCTTCTGGTAATAAACTGTGGCTAATATGGTAAGTTCTTCTTGTCATGGACTGCTGTCAATTATTGCAATGTTGGGTTTCTATAGACTGCCCCAAACTGATGAATTTTTTCCCTAGTTATTCTCAGTTCTCACCAATCAGATTGTAGGATTCTGATCATCTTACTGGACATATCTGATGCAAGAGACAAATATTTGTCAGATAAATTACATAACAACTTTCTAAGGGAAGTTCTACTTTCCCACTCAAAACATTAATTTTTGCTCTAATTTATAGCTGAAATATTACATAAAGATTATTTATGAAGTGGGAAATCTAAGACTGTAGTAAATAAGATGCATAAATTATCGAATAGAATGGTTCCCTGCTTTTGCATTCACACACTTGAAATTCCAAAAAACATAAATAATAGTCTTATGGATAAAACTTTATGGGTTGAAATTTTATTTTTATAGTTTTATGAATAGACCTGTGAAATAATGCATTCTCTTCAGATATTTATTGAATTTTCTTCAAAATAAGTCAAAATGTCTTGAAGTCGTTCTCAGATAGCATTTTGTTCATAGTAACTCTTTTTTGTCATACACAAACCATGTGGCTGCCACTTATTAAAAGTTTGTAAATGTAAACCTTTATAGGCACAAATGATTCAGAATATGTTTGCATAAACTGTCAATTTAATGTTTGATAACTTTTCATTATGAAAAATTTTCTGTTCTGTAGTATAAGATATTTCCAGTTATTACATTTAGTTTATATAATTATGATGAACTGTGAGTAGATGATTCATTATGAATCATTTGGGCACCATCAATTTGCTGCATCATCCAACTCCTCTTGCTACTTCTCAGGAGTTTTTCTTTTGTTTGATCACCTGATATTATTCAATTACAATATGAATACAACCAAATTTTGGTACAGTGATTATTAATTAATCTCTTCATAATGATAAAATACCATATTTACTTGCATATAAGACAAAGTGTGACTTTAAAGATCAGAATAAAGAAAATTAGATTTATTAATACAATTCTAATTTTATATCAAATGCACATAAATGCACACATTGTCCAGCAAAAATTTCTGGTATTTTAAACTTTAAGGAAAAATCTTATAAAATCGACAACATAATTTTTTCGTGTAAAGCTGGACAATACAGAACCTGTTTTGCCTATTGTTAACAATCAAATCCACGCTCCATTGATTACACTTAAGAGTTTCTCCGAATTCTGATTTCCGAATAATCATCTATTTTCACCTGGTAAATTTAAACTTATATCGGGCTCCCATGTGATCTTGGAATTTAATTCAAAAGCTTTGCTTTTCCTATTGCTATTAATCTTTACTCCTGACAATACACAAGAACGATTCAAATGACCCAGATAAAATACTTTTGTTTTTAAATACCATAGGGTGAGCATCATGTAAAAAATGCGAATACACAGTTTACAAAAATTATTGCAAAAACACAAAGGATCCTTCGCTTGCACATATAGGACAACCTAGGTTTTTGAAGCAGTATGAATAAAAACCTCGTCTTATATGCGAGTATACAGTATACAGTCGACCCCCCTATAAGATCATTGATTTTTCCGTTTTATCTGAATTANGATTTGTTGCGGGCCTCAGAATTTTCGGCACAATGAGACATTGTTTTGCAGAATGAACAGTATGGCGCCGGGCATTAAACGCAAGGTCAGTTGCGAGAATCATCAGTTTCAAGAAGTGGAAGTGTGGGCTAACAAGTACTGTTTTGTGCAACAGAACAACAGCATTATTTGCCTTTTGTGCAATGGAACAATAGCAGTGCCAAAAGAATTCAACCTGAAGCGACATCATGAAAGCCAACACAAGGATTTCCTTCTGCAAGGTACGGAACGCAAACAGAAAATCGAATCGTTATGACGATCACTAATCAGCCAACAAAATGTGTTCAAGAAACAATCTGGAGAACTGGATGCGGCTGTTGAAGCCAGCCTACAAATATCTGCTTTAATAGCCAAGAATGGGAAACCTTTCACAGATGGCAATATGATAAGAAAATGACTTATCATCGCAAGTGAGATGTGTCCTGAGAAGACAGTGTTTTCAAACAATCAGTCTTAATCACATGACGATACAACAAAGAATCTCGCAAATTACATCAGACATCGCATTAATCACTTGGAGGTCCGGCCCCCAGTCAGTAAACTTAATCCTAATTTGGCCCTTCTTCAGAAAAGGTTGTGCATCCCTGCATATAATGACATAAATGTGATACATATGCTCCTATAGTGACATATATAAATACATCAAATGGAAGTGTGGCTTCTAACTGCTAGTGTGGGCATTGCTCGTTCATTCATAGCAGTATTTCCAAGCGTGTGACACATTACCGGCATCATTAGAGTTAATGCAATTGGTGCGTAACCCGGCCTTATAAATTTCAAGTGCCTCAAGATTTCATAAGTGTTCTACACGGTGAGAGAGAAAGTTTAATCAGTTTGGCCTCATGTAGGTCAGCTCTTATGCCGGGTTCAGCCGCATATGTTGAAAGGGCGGTGGTGTGCCTTTTATTAACGATATCATAATTGTGTTCCTGCAATCTTTTATTCAATGAGCGTTTTGTAGACCCAATATAAACTAATTTCCCTTTGAAACCTGTCATCCCAGAGAGGGACCATGTAAACACCCGGTGCTTGCTTTCTATTTATCTTGTCTTTACCACTGCGGAGTAGTCCATATACCATGTTTGGCCTCTTGTATGTAATCTTAGTATTAGTATGGGAGGCAATCTCCCTGTAAATGGAGTTGAGGTGGTAGTTGTACTCAACCACCATACGAGACTGTATGCTACTTATGTTGTGTGTTCCGTGTGTCGCTACCCATGTGTTAGAAGTGTAGTTAGCGGCCATTCTTGTGGAGTATGCGTGGGAAAGGTTGTGTACCAGGCTCCTGCTATATCCGTGCTGTAATGCTATGTTCTGAATGCGTTCTAACTCCGTCTCAGTGTCCTCAGATCTAGTGTGGCGTGTAAAAGCCCGTTTTATAAGGGCCCGAAAAGCTGCAATCTTATAAGAGTATGGGTCCGCAGAGTTGGCGGGGATGAACAATGGCTTATAGCATGACTTGTAATATACCTTCGTTACCACCCTAGTGCCATCAAGTTGCAGGTGGATATCCAGGAAATGTGCCACAGTATTGCTCATCTGATCTAATTTGAGGGTGAGGCTGTAAGGATTGCTATTCATTATCCTTATGAAATTGTTTATGTTCGGTTCCGCTTTCCATAGAATAAATATGTCATCTATATATCTCTTGTATATGTAAATGTTGGAAACAAACTGAGGTATGACCTTTCCTTTGAGCTGCCTTATTACCAACTCGCACAAATCCCCAGAGAGGGGACTGCCCATGGGCACGCCACGCTTTTGTAAGTACATATTGTTGTTAAAGTGGAAAAAGGAGGTGTGACATAGAATGTGCGCCAGCTCTAAAACGTGCTTACGATGTGCAGTAGCACCAGGTTCACTAAGTAATAGATCCCTAATCGCTCAGAAGCACGGTTCTATTTTGATTGATGGATATAGAGATACAAAGTCAAGGACTGTGATGTACACATCCTCTGTTATGGTAAGAGGTCGCAAGGTATCTATTAAATCTGTGGAGTTTTTGATTATCCACGGATAATTACTCAAGCTTTCATGTATCCATTTGTGCACAGCTGAATCTAACAAATGAGTCGGGGATCTGGCCTTATCTAGAACAGGTCTCAGGGAGGGTAATTCTTTATGTGTTTTATGCGGCTGAACCCGGCATAAGAGCTGACCTAAATAAGGCCAAACTGATTAAACTTTCTCACCGTGTAGAACACTTACAAAACCTTGAGGCACTTGAAATTTATAAGGCCGGGTTACGCACCAATTGCATTAACTCTAATGATGCCGGTAATGTGTCACACGCTTGGAAATACTGCTATGAATGAACGGGCAATGCCCACACTAGCGGTTAGAAGCCACACTTTCCATTTGATGTATTTATATATGTCACTATAGGAGCATATGTATTGCATTTATGTCATTATATGTATGTCAACGTATGGATCACATATATGTCATTATAGGAAAGTACGTATCACATTTAACATGTCATTGGCATGGCAATGCACGTGCAAAACTTTTTATTCTTTTAAATTACGGTGGTACTGTTCCATTTTTTGAAAATAATTTTAGAATGTTTGTTCTATGCATTCACATGTTCGAATCTAACGGGTTTTTAAACCTGAAGAAGACTGAATGTACGGTCAAAAATGTTTGTTTGATATTAAATGTTTATTACTGGAGTTATAAGGTTTAGGAGTGTTAATTTATATACTTTCCAGTATTCGAGTAAGAAGATTTGGATTATTTAAATAATGATTTAAAGCAATTAATGTTCACTGTTCAGAGTAAGACTAATAACTGATAATGATTATGCATAATCACTTACACATTGTCCCTTTTGCATATGTGAAAACAACTTTTTCCTTATTTTTTATGTTTATTTTAACTTATATGTTTTGACAGCATTAATTAATTTTTAAACAACTATTACAATAAATAGATTCTACTGTGTGTGTGAACCCTGTATACATACAGGGTGGTTATAAAGTAACTTGACTAACAGTGATCTTAGAAGTGTGGAAAGCAATGAAGCCATTGAAACTTTTGCAAGTATGGGATGATATGTGCTTTCAATACACAATAATAGGGGTAGAACACTTATTACTGTTACAGTTAATGCAACCATATATAGAAAATTTCAATACAAATGGGGAATTCATGATGTTATGAGAGTCTGTATGACAAAAAAACATCATAAGACATTGGAACAGTGTGTGTAGAACAAAAAACAATGATATTGGCATTTGAACAATGGGAAGCAAGTAACAGTGGCGTGGCGTAGTGAGGTGGCAAAATTTCACAATAAATAATAATAATATCTTGTAAAAATTTGAACCATTTCATTCCATATTTCCATCACACCTATGATTCGGATCGATTGAAATGAGCATTTTTTTTTTTCTTGCTTGTATGATTCATTCGTACTCATATACACCTCCAATATCCAATAGAGCTAAGTCATCTAGGTTACTTATGTTACTTCTACCCAAGTCTCCCTAGTTGCTAACTGTAACTGATTTAGAACCGGCATGCACTGCACATTATTCTTTGCATTGCAAAATGACATACACATGCGCAGGAATCTGATCGAACAAACTTTACCTGTCCTTCAGGTCAGCGATTTTAAAAAGGTAGCAATACTAGCACAGAATTTTTCATTACTTATTCTGTGACGAAACTGAATTTTAGTCTTTTAAATTGAGATACCTAAATAAGGGGATGGCGAAATTGAAAATTTCGCCATCCCCTTATTTAGGTATCTCAATTTAAAAGGACGGCTGACACCCATACTACGCCACTGGCAAGTAAGCCAATACCTGTGACAGAAGACCTGTACAGATTAACAGATGATGTGTTAGAACCATAGCTGAAGCTTACTGTGATGTCATCGCAGGATATAATAGCATCTGTCAACCTGAATTCAGACAAAGCATGCATTCTCCCATTTTCTGCTTTGGTGATACATTTCACAGTCTTCTGTCACAGGCATTGACTCACTTGCTTCCCATTGTTCAAACACCAATATCTCTGTTGTTTTTTTGTACTACACACATTATTCTAATTTCCTATGATGTTTTCCATCACATAGAATCTTGTTACATTGTGAATTCTCAGTGTTTTGTATTGAAAATTTTCAATATACGGTTACATTAACTGTAGCCATGACATGTTCTATCCCTATTTTCATGTATCACAAGTGCATATTACTCTGTACTTATCCTGCAAAGGTTTCAATGTATTTCCCACTCTCTGTGCTGATGGGTGCTCAAGATACTTTATGTCCACTCTGTATATATACGAGAAAGGAAATAAAGAATTAGATTTAAAATTTGTTGAAAAGAGTCATTTCTGAAGTGCTTGGAAATAATCATGGTAATATCAATAAATATTACTGATATTTACTATTTTTTATAGTGCAGTTATGTCAATAATTTGAAAACAGCATGTGTGACTATTTAAAAACAAAAATTCTTTATAAACACTGTATCAATTTTATTTTGTGAAAAGTCCAGTTTGATTTAATGCCATCATTTAAATTATATGTTAATTAGCAAATGAGCCCGGCCTTGCTTGACAAAAAATAACAATAGCAAAGATTAAGATTATTACCATACTTTCCAGCGTATAAGACAACTGGGCATATAAGACGACCCCCGACTTTTACAGTTAAAATATAGTTTGGGATATACTCGCTATATATGAAGACACCTGGTGTATAAGATGACCCCCCGACTTTTGAGAAGATTTTCCTGGGTTAAAAAGTTGCCTTATACGCCAGAAAATATGGTAGATTATAGCCGATCTTATCTGTTTTCACCAAGTGCAAAGAATTAGATCCCTCTCTTCCAAGACTAGTTAGAAAATTTTTAGATATCTGCTTACCACACTGAGATAACAATAATTAAGATTCACAGCAACCACTAACCAGTGCATAGTATCACTAAATGATGAATAATAAACATTTTCATAACCCTTTCTTTGTTCTTATTCAGGTTTACTAAATTCAAAAAATAAGCTGGATCTTCCCGAATCATTCATAAATATAAATTCGAACATTAAGACGAAGAGTTTGAATAAAGCAACTTATGTGCATGTGCTCCCTATGTCAACTTTATATATGATGGAACACTAAATATCGTTGAGAATTTTTAGAAGAGTCTAAAAATATGTTTGATTTCCCAAATAAATGCATTTAAAATAGTACAGTAGAAGCCAAGTTCTTCAGGGGTAATCCTTAACCCTCTGTCTCTCCCCCATGGTGGGAATGTTGAAAAATCCCATCTTAGTTTATGTACATTCTCATGACGTATCCTAACTGTGTACCGAATTTCAACTTTCAACTCTTAACCGTTTGGGCTCTGCACTTATTATTATTATCATTATCAACCCATCTCGATTATATTATAAGATTAGTCAGCCAATTATATTTGAATTATAAAAAGCAAAATAAAATGGTCTAATCCTTATACTTTATCTTCAACAATAACATGTTAGTATTCTGTTGAGATTCCTCTGGTTGAAGAATGTTTAAAATTTTGATTTTGAGTGTTTTTGACGTGAAACATTTTTTCAGATGACAAACTTATTCATAGAGATGGAAATGATATTGCCATAATGTTGATGTAGAAAATATCTTATAAAGAGTAACATTTAGGACCCTAGTTCTTTTGCCTTTTTTGTCATGTAGAAGAATTGACTATTCTTGGGTCCTCTGTCTCATTTGGAGCTAGAATCTTATCATAAATAGCAATAACTGACAGTAATGAGTTTATAAATTGTTTCTGATATAATATACGTGATTAGGCTTAACAACATACTGCTATATCAACTACAGTTAATATAATTGACAAGAGCCTAATATCAAACAGTGAAATGTATATCATATTTAGATTTAAACATCTTTCAGTTGTTTCACATGTCATTGATTAAACTGAAAGATATCGGTTTTTTTAAAATCATAATAAGATTATGTGTAACTAGAGTAAATATTAATGTGAGAGCCTTTTCTTATTGGATACACTTTAAAAGAAAGTTTTTCAGTGCTTAAAAAGCAGAAATGTTTTTTACTTGATTTTCTGTTTAGTTTCATCAGTAATTTTGAAAATATTTTTTCATTTTTTTACCCATATTTACATTTTATTGTATTCATGTTAATTTTTGAGGATAACTGCATGATATCTGCACAAAAATACAGTCAATTATAGCTGAAAACTTGATAGCATTATTCCTTACATAAATTTCCAATTCCTAAAAGCAATAGCTAGTTTTATTTGAAATAAAACAAAACAAAGGTTAATCTCAAATTAAAATTTGTCGACTAATTTAATATTGCTTTGTTTTTGTGTATTTAAATATTGACAATAAACCATAATTTTTTAATATAAATTTGAAAAATATATATTTAAAACCTCTCTTTACAGATAGAAGACGACAAGCAGCAAAACAAAAACAAGATATTTGGAATGGAGTTGTATCTTAAAACAAATTTGATTTGGTTATTTTTATTAGAATTTTCACAAAAATTGAAATTACTGACTAATATCTATAAATGATTTTAAAAACGTGTAAAACCAATGACAAGCATTGTTGGTGCAATTTTAATTATTTTTGTAAATATATTGTTACTTTTACCATGAAACTTAAGTTGATATTTTATATAAAAATTGNGCTCCCGTGCTGGCTTACGAGACTCTAAAAAGTGCACAAAGCCAGCGCGGGAGAGAGCGAAGGCACGTGCCTCTTCGCCCAGCCAATCGCAGCGCGAGGCAAAGACCGCACAAAGCCAGTGCGAGGCAGAGCGGAGCTTCCTGGTATCAGACGGCGCCAAGAGATGGAAGGGAACGGAGTGGCCGAGTATTCCTGCGGTTATGTATATATGCAGAAGTGAAGGGACAGCGGAGGGCCATGGTGGGCTTTTGTATTTGCCGTATAAGACGCAGGCACTTTTTCCCCCCCGATTTTGGAGAGAAAAAGTGCGTCTTATACGGCGAAAAATACGGTAGTTATTTGGTAGTTTGTATTAGTTTAATATTGATACAAAACTTATCCCAATTGATTGATATCCTTTACTGTGATAAATTTCTGTTTAGTAATACATTTTTTTTACTGTATTCAAAAAATGAAATAGTATTTTCCTTTCTCTACAATGATGATAATACAATAAATTAAATTTTAATTAATTTTAATTTATTATTTGTTTTTGGAATCAAAATGTGGTATTCTCATTAATACAATTCCATCAAGGATGTTACCTGCACTCAGTAGGCAGACGAGCTGGTTGCCAGATTTAGTGTTTTTTTGTTAAATTGTTTGTTAATAATAATAATACTATAATAACATGCCTAATATTACTATGTTTTTCTGTTCTAAAATTGCCTAACTTTGTAGAAATACCCTTATTTGTAGTTAAGATTAAATGAGGAATGGGGATACATTTTAACAATAAATCTTTCTACAATAATATTTTTTCTTGTTCTGCTAAATATCACTATAGAAGGATATGATTTTAGTCTTAATTTTCCGTTTTTTGAAACATTAACTGAATTCATAATTTAAAGAAACTCTTATATACACAGATGTCCAAAACGTAATGATGGATGACATTTGTACATGAATAGACAGAACTGTAGATGAATGCAGACAAATATGGCAAGAACTATTTTACTCAACATCTAACACAGTAGTGCATAATAGCTTGTAGGATTTTACAAATCAATGAAAGTCTTTGGTGAAAAAGATACATACAGCATCTGGACATAGATGGAGAATGGATGGAAAGATGGAAACTGCTTACAGGCAGAGAGACCTGTTAATATGGAATATGTTCACCTCAATCTGCAATGTAGCACTCACAATGTTGTGGAGAGCTTGTCACCAAGACTTCTTCCAGTTATCACCACTAGCAATTGTATTCATCCTTAAGTTTTGTATGTTTGTGTACACCAAATCCAGGAATGTTACTCACTTTGTGAAATAGGCAAAAGTTTATGTAATTTGTAAAATAAGCATATAAACTGCCAATTTATGAATTGGGAAAATTTTCTGTGTAGTTTGTGAAACTGCTATTTTATATTTTCCAATAAGATATGACTTTTGTTTAGCTCATTGAATTATGATTTAGAAAATGTTAGGCAAATTATTTTAGTATTGTCTGTCATATATATGTTGAATTTCTGCAGCATGTTCTTTCAGGCTTATACGGATACAGCAAGCTCATACGCAAGTTAATGCATCGATATCAAAACTCAGCTCAAGACCTACCACAAAGAGAGGAACGACAAGATGTGGATAGGATCATACCAGTCAATTATAATCCATATATTAGAGGGCTATATGGCGAGATAGCTAAAAAGAACAGCATGCATATCACCTACAGAAGATGTGCTTTGATTTTTAACATCCTAACCATTGGAAAAGATCAACTAGATAAGGATAAGCTGTCAGGGGTCTACAGCATTCTGATTATAGATTGCAGATGCAATAGAAACCTTCTGTATGTGGGCTCCACCAAACGATCCTTAGAGGTTAGACTGAAAGAACAGTAATTTATGGTAGCCGTATTGGAATCAACTGTGCATGACAGACAATGATGTAAACGGGAAACGTGCATTTGAATATACATATTTTTGAATTTGAAGTTTTACAGGCATTTCCATCAGAGATTCAAAAATATACCTGAAGAAGAACCATCGTTAGGGTTCGTTAAAGAGCTATTTTGGTCCATTACGATCTGACAATAATCTTCCAGCATTTGTAACCGTCTTGATAAAACGATAACGTTCTTGCCTTTGTAACATCTTTTTGTCTTTTGTCCCTTTTGCGCTGTCACCAACTGTTGTCTTCCCTCACTTCTGTCTTTCGCACATTCTGCCAAATCTCATCGCAACCCCTTGTCTATTGTCTCAATGGTGTCGGAATGTTCACTCATCTGACTCCACATTGTCTCTCTCTCTCTCTCCTGTTCTCTTCATCTCCCCCGCAACCCCTTGTTTATTGTCTTAACAGTTTAGGAATGTTGCTGATCTAAACCCCACATATATGTTATGCTGAATTAATTTATTGACACTTTAGGACTTGCCTGTACTGATAACAATAAGTGAATAATGTCATTTATTTATTCTGCTTAATGTTAACTTCAATTAGTGGAAATTCAGATTGATTGTTATCATTAAAACAATTATGACATGCATAACATGAAGTTTTATTATTATTATTTATTAATAGTAATTCATCCAATATTGGTTGCTTACTGGTTTTGCACTACCATCTTTTACAGCAGTTAGTATAAATTGAAGTAAGAAATGTCAACAATCTGAACTACTGTAACTGTGCAACTAAAGTGTTTAACTATTTAAATAATTAACACTCCTAAACCTTATAACTCCAGTAATAAACATTTAATATCAAACTAGCGTTTTCGACCGTACATTCGGTCTTCTTCAGGTTTAAAAACCCATTAGATTCGAACATGTGAATGCATAGAACAAACATTCTAAAATTATTTTCAAAAAATGGAACGTACCACCGTAATTTAAAAGAATAAAAAGTTTTGCATGTGCATTGCCATGCCAACGACATGTTAAATGTGATACGTACTTTCCTATAATGACATATATGTGATCCATACATTGACATACATATAACAGGGGTGCACAACCTGCGGCCCGCGGGCCACATACGGCCCCCTATCAATGTTTATGCGGCCCGCGGACAGTACAGGCCAAATCCCTTCTTTCGAAGTTTCTAAGTGTAGTACTTTTTCCCTTTCACAAAGTCATTAGCACCCAACTGTTTTATGACTTTCCCTGAGGTGAGAAATGGGGGGGATTGTTCTATAAATAAGTCTATTTCTATCTAACACTTTCTGATTTAGATATCGAATATTTTAAAATGATGTTAGAATGTCATTTCCGATGTTATCGGAAAGTTTCTATTTTGGCGGAAAATCTTCAATTTTATGCTTCGGAAAACTTGCCTATTCGTCTAAATAGCGTCAAATAACAAAAATAAGTGAAAATAGCGCTGAAAAACCATGAAAATAACGATTTTTTAGCATTTG